TAGTTTACAGTACTGTGTAGAAGCAGTTTAAAAAAAAAAAGAGTTTACCAGAAAAGTTTAACAAACATTTGTAATGATAACTTTGATTATACCTCACAGAAGTCTTTCCCCCCTAGGCTTTCCAAGGAAGTACAAAAAAGCTCAAGATATTTTTAACAATGCTACCAGAGGTATTCATGGTCAATAACCTCAGTTTATGTTATGCAATGAAGACTGACGCATATTTAACAGTTTGATATAAAGTAACTAGTTTATTAACCATTCAATTCCTAACTGAGGATTATTAATTTTCCCCTCTAGCTGCTTCACATTTCCTTGTAAATTGGTTAGGGGAATTTGATGTTTGATCAAGATAACAACCTCTACCTGATAAGTTTCAATAATATCTTTAACTGTTTGTTGAATAATGCATGAATATTATCGGGATAAATTACATGTTTATCACTTGTGTGGGTTAAAAGAATCTGTACATTCACTGGTTCACTAAGATTTTATGGCCATGATCTGATGGGTCCTCAGTGTTAAGTGTCACCTGAGATAAGTTGGGGTTTGAACTGAGTCAAGAAATGAGTGATCATTGCCAGAACTGACTTGATATTTTATTTTATGCTTGATTCTGCAGGAGGAAAGAGCCATGCCAATGATTGTCACAGTCTTAGTTATAGAAAGAAAAAACATACACAATTAGTGGTAAGTTTTTTAACTTAAAAAAAAAAATGATTGTACTTTTTTGTAACCCTTTCACTCCCAAGATCTGATTCATTTAGTAATTCTCCTTACTGTCTGCCATAGAATTCTTGTAATGTTAGTTTGGAGAATTTGGTGTTGGGTCAACTGATAGCATAATTAATTTTCCTAAGTTTATTCTCAACACTTGCCTGCTTGATATTGTATTGATATTGTAAGGAGAAACTCTGTCTTGGTCACTCATGAGAGTTAATGGGTTCATGGCAGAACTAAAGATTAGTTAACAATTATTCCACAAGCGTGTGTTGGATATGAGATGATAGACAGCCAACGAGGTGCTACGCTTTCTTATATTGATTTCAGAATGATGTCAAATCTTTTTGTTTGCATATGGCTGAGGATGATGGAGAAGTGGAAATTTCCAGGTATATGCATACAGTACATTTAATTCCACTTCTTAACTCTCAGAAGTGATTAAAGTGTAACTTCTCTCTAGAATAACCTTGGAGCATCCAACAAACAAGTAATGAGAATACTCCAACTTATGAGGTAGAAGTAGTTGTTTTGATCAAAGACCAAATATTATTCTTCAGTGTAGCTAACGCAAAACGAAATGTGTAGCAGCCAGAGGGGAGAATTAACAAACAGATCTTGGAGTTGCAGGGTTATAATTTATTAGCATCATTTTTACCATGATTCTAGGACAGGGCAAAAATTAATTTGGACAGAAAGTGGAGTAATAATATGGCCATATCATACTGAATGCCCAAAATAGGTTTTATTCATGATTTTTAGGCTTGACATGTAATGCAACAAACTTTTAAGTGCTCCAGATTTAAAACCAGATAAAAAGCACTTCCAGCAATGGCTTTTCTTATGTTTTTCATCGTTCACACAGGCCACATTTGATTGATACCATGCTCAGAAAGACTATTATAATAGAATGATTGTATCTGAACACTTAAGAAGCCAAAAAACTCAAAAATTAAATTTAGCTGTGGAGTAAGAGATTCTGGTACCTCACTCAATCAAATCTCACAAATGATACAAGTAGACATTTTTCTTACTGTTTGTGTTTTTCCTTGCCACTTGGGGACTCTGAACAACACTACACAACTTGAAAAATATTCGTAAGTATTATATGTGAAACCATGGAATAAGGTGTACATGTCTAGAATAAGAATAAGATTTATGTACAGTATGATATATAGTCATGAATCTGCACCAATCATTTTAATTTGCTTCTTTGATAAAGTATCAAGTTTCTCAGCCTCTTAATTATTCTTAGGTGTTTGTGTATCAATATTTCTCTCCAATTTTTTTTGTATTGTAGCGCTTGAGAACAAGGAGCCAATTACGAAATTTTTTTTCAATTGTCTGGCTTTGGTTCAGGTAACT